TGTTTTTTAATAAAATATCGGCTGTGTTTTAGGTATTTAATTATATCACTATTGTCTAATTAAAAAATTTTGATTATATTTTAAAACCACTATGAAAAATTTTTAATTTAGTATATAATATAATGCATTGTTAATAATTCTTATAATAAATTAATTTTTATTTCCAGACAATGAAATATAAGTTTGAGTTTTAAATAAAAAATAAAAACTTTAAAACCCGACTTTTACTCACATGTAAATTGTATATTATTATAATGAACAATTTTAATCACAATTCTAGGGTATATATATAATTTTATTTGTTTGATTTCATTACTTATTATTTATTGTGCTTTATACCTTTTTAAAGAAAATAAAATTTTTTTTATTTCGAACAAAAAAAAAATAAAAATAAAAATTGGAAAAACTCGAAGAGCCTACTAAATCATTTAAGAGATTTTGTTTTTTTTTTTTTTTTTTGAAATTAAAACTTATTAAAAAATTTCACTTAATATGGATATTAGTTTTCAAATAAAAATGATATAATTTTTATAAAAAAATTTTTTAAATTATTATTATTTAATTTAACATATAACAATACACTTCAGAAATTCCATATCTCACAGTTTTTTTTTTTTTTCCCTGAAAAAATAAAAGAAACTGTAGTACTAAAAGTGAAAATAAAAAACAAAATTTATTTTAAAAAAATACACTGATGATTAAAAAGAATTAATTTGTTATAATTTATTAAAATTTCAATATAAAAAAATTATTTAATAATTAAAAAAAATGAGAATCGTAATTATCGTATCGATAAAGTTTTTTATTTAAAAAAAAAATTACTCGACACATTGTCAGGCGAGTTTTACCGAACATTCACGAAGTTCTCCAGGTTGTTCCACGAGTTTAAGACGCCATATTTGTAGTTACACAGCTGCAGCCATTCATGCAGGTGTGTTCGGCATTTTTTTTTTTTTTTTTTTTTTTTTTTTTTAAAAAGTCAACAAATATAAACTATAAAATGAATTCAATTAAAATTTGTTAATAAATTGTTTATAAAGTAAATAAAATTTATATTTATAAGTTTAGTTACATTTATTGTTAAGTTAATATTAATACGAAGTATTTTTTTTTTTTTGGAGAGAATTAAAAGTGTAAAAGAAACAAGAAATCCAGTTGTCGCCATTTTATATACATATATCGAGTATTATATGTATTTACCCCTATAAATTTAGTTTTTATTGTCGTTATACAATAAAAAGTTATCTGTTTTATTCTTTGTTTTTAAGTTAGAATGTTTTTTATAAATATATTTATTATATACGTTCATATAAAAAGAAAAAGAAAAATTATAAAAACTTAAACGTCTTTAGCGTCTTTTTGAACCAACTATTATATGTGTGTGTGTGTGTATTTAAGAAAAATAAAATTCAAGTGCAACGACCAAAACAAAATTTTATTTGTGAATTTTTTTTTTTTTGTTCAAAACTAAATAATTTTAAAGATTTATGGTTTCGTGTAATAATTCTGGGTAAGTTTTTTTTTTTTTTTATAGATTTTTATTAAATAATTTTTTTTCTTTAAAATAAAACTAAATATAAATAAATAAATTTCATTTGAGTTACATAAAAAAAAAAAAAAAACGTTTTTTTGTATGTACTCAAACGTGATTATATAAAATGATTGGATATATAAATAAAAATGAAATTTATTTATTTATTTATTTTTTGTTAAATTCGTTATTAATTACTATTCGGAATTGAAAAAAAAAAAAAACTTTTGAATTTGGACAAACATTTAGTATCATCATGAACGTTCTGTATAAGAACAATTTAAATAAATTTTTAATTTTTCCCAAAAATAAAAAGACATTTTTAAATTCTATACAAAACATTATATATTATATAATCACTTAAGAAAAAGAAGTTAAAATTAGTTTTTCTACGTTTCGATTAAATTTTATCTTTTAAACTGTAAAATTTCCCTTTATTATATTTAAACGTTTACGATCCATGACGGAACGTTAATGAAATCCCTGTTTGACACGTTTGTCAAAAAAATGGGGGATGGGGGGGTTGAATAGAATCAATTAAAAACAGTTAATATAACAAAAAAGAACAAAACAATGATGAATATCTTAAAATTTTCTTTAAAATGTTTCTTGTTGTGAAATGTAAACAACTTTTACATTTAAGAAAGAAAGAAAAAAGATTCTGCAATTGACAGAGAAAATTTACATTTTGTAAGAAAAAAAAAAAGCCAATACAGATTCAAGGGGATCCCCCTCATTATTGTCCTTCAAAAAGGAAAAAAAATAAGAAGAAGAAAAATTGAAAATTTTATATTCATTAAAGGGGTTATTGTTATGATATGTTGCAAAAAAAGGGAAAAAATTTTATAAAAAAAAAAAAAAAGGAAAAAATAAATTAAATATATATTTTTTCAATTTTTTTTTCTTTCAAAAGTTAGTTTTACTGATTTTCAAAAGATTTTTTTTTTTTTTTGAAATTTTTGATTCCAGAAAGATTGTAATTATTGCTTCCAGGTTTGTTTGAAATTAGAAAAGTTTAATTTAATCGAGAATTTATAATAAAAAAAAAAAAATATATTTTTTTTCTTCTTCTTCTTTTAAATAAAACTCTATAGAGTAAGTTAAAACATCAATAAAAATGTCTTTTTCTTGTAAAATTTTAAAAAAAAAAAAAGAAAACTTTTGGTTGGATTTACGCAATGTACCGTTTCTTTTCGAATGCACACAATTTATTTTTAGAGTTTGTTCATTTTTTTTTTTTTTTTTTTTTTGAAAATTCTTGTTTAAAAATTTTGGTTTTTACAAAAGCGAAAAAATTTCAAAATTTTTCATCAAGTGTTTATTATTGCCCTCATCGGTCGCGTAAACCCTTTGTTGATATATTAGAATAATTGATTTTTTTTTTTTCGAGTGACGTAATAAGAAGAAAAAGAAAGAAAACTTATAAAAGTACTTTTTGCCGGTAAAATTAAAAAAAAAAAAAAGCGCCGGTGAGGGCCTTGAATAATGTAATAATTGATTCTACTCAGCTTTAGCATCCCTCCCTTTCCCCCTCCCCCCACCCCCCGTCTAATTACGCATACCGGTGTGAAATTTATTTGAAATCCATTAAAAAATCAAAATTTTTATTTATTTTTTATGTAATTCATGATTTTTCATTATTAACGCTTATTGATTCCATCGGTTATTGTTAATTGATTATTACGCAATCGGTAAAATAATTCACTTTTTTTTTAAAACGTGTCATTTGTTTTTTTTTTTTTTTTTTCTAATTCCACGACGGAAAGGATTATATATATATATAATAAGTAAAAAGATGAGTTTTACCATTGATAAAATTTTTTTTTACCCGTATGATAATTTATAGAAGGATGTAATTTACGACTTGAGAATATTCATTTATTTATTTATTATTTTTTTAAAATGGATCGTTAAACGATAAGTATTAATTATTATTATTATTTTATTTTTCTTTACAATATTTAAAATTAAAAAAAACCGTTTTAATACTGTTGAATATGTATGTAGATTTTTTTTTTATATATATTTTTTATTTCAACGTGAAATATTAATTTATATCCGCGTGCGTGAAAAGTTTTGTTATATAATCTCACCATATATATATATATATTAATATCGATTTGTCAATTTTTTTTTTTTTTTTTTTTTTTTATCGGGAAAGTCGGAAAATTTCTGACTGATAATTTTTTAAATTTTCAAGCAATCCTAAGGTAATATATTAAATTTTTTACAAAAACTGTTACTTTGTCACCACACAAACTGATTCACGAGTAAAAAAGAAAACGAATTTTTAATAATTTATTAGCGAAAATTTTTGTAAAAGTGAGAATTGATTTATTTAAATTAAATACGAATAAATAAATAAATTATGTATTATATTAAACATTAATTTAAAAAAAAGATTAAATTGTTTTTTCTGTTTTTTTTGAAGCCGATTAAAACCACAAAAGACTAAAAAGTGGGCAGTTTAAAATTACTTATAATATTGTCACTTTTAACGAATACAAAAAGGGGGGGGGGCTAACAAAATAAAATGAGAACGTTGTACCTTTAACAATAATAAGAACAATAAATAAATTTTAATTGATTTAAAAATGTCAGTAATGACGTGACATAAAAAAAAAAAAAGACTATAAAGACCACCGTATTGCTTGGCAATGTGTACAAGTTCAATAATAAGAGGATAACAATAAAGAAAGGGCTAATTGATGTTGTGAAAACATTTTTAAAACTTTTCAGCTTTATCAAAACAATTATTATTATTATTATTAGTAGTAGTAGTTAAAAAGTGTTTATTTTAATTTTATAAATTATTTGATATTGAGCTGAAGAATAAGCTTTTATTCAAAAACAGCCGAAGGAATCCGAATTGCATTAATTAATAGAATTGATAATGCTTCGTGTTATTTAACGATGGCCATTATTATTATTATTTGTCAGAATTTGATTTAAAAATTTTTTTTTATTGTAGTAATTGAATTTGTTGTTGTTTTTGTTGTTGCAGGAAGAAGTATGCTTCTTAGAAGCGTGAAAAAACAATTATAACAAGGGAATGAGCCTTACGGCAACTTTGCTATTGGGGCTTATAGTGCCCATTGCTGTCATTTCACACGACACTAAAAGTCTTTCGGTTTCAGTTCCTATATCTTCTAAAATTCAACAAATAACTTCTAGATTTTCTCTCAACGGCGATACATCTTTCACTCATATGGTGTATGATAAAACCGGAAATCAAATATTCGCCGGAGCTATAAATAAAATATATCGTTTAGACGAAAATTTAAAGTTGATGGAAGAAGTGACGACGGGTCCGAAGCAAGATAGTCCTTTGTGCCCTGCCAAGGGTTGCGATTCTTCCGTAACGGAAAAATTTTCAACGAATAACGTTAATAAATTACTCATCCTCGACCCCGAATCAAAATCATTAATTGCTTGCGGATCCATACTTCAGGGAGCCTGTGAAAAATATAACACTTCAAGCCTTTTCGTTCCTCCTAAATTTATTTCATTAAGCGTTGCTGCCAACGATGAAAAATCATCAACTTATGCATTTATCGGACCCGAAAGTTACAATTCTCGAAATAGGAATAATGTTCTATACGTGGGAACGACGTTTACGAACCACGGAGAATATAGACACGACGTTCCAGCCATATCCAGCAGGAATTTGGACGATTTAAATTTCGCCGCGTTTTCGTTTTCGAAACAATCTTTGCTCCGGATAGACGTTAAATACAGAGATCAATTTTTAGTTAATTACGTTTACGGTTTCAATTCGACCGAATTCGCGTATTTTGTTATAGTTCAAAAACAATCACATTTACCGGGTCAGGAAGAAAAGGGTTACGTTTCTAGATTAGCAAGAACGTGCATAAGTGACGAAAATTACGACAGTTACACGGAAGTGACTTTACAGTGCACGATCAGGAGTGAAACGACGAATAAGTTAGTAAATTATAATTTAATTCAGGATGCGAAAATAGGTGTAGCAGGTGCGGATTTGGCGGGAAACCTAGGGATAGACACGAATGAAAACGTTTTGGTGGGAATATTCAGTCCGAGCAAAGGGATAACAAACGAGCCGCAGTCAAAGTCGGCAGTTTGCGTTTTTAGCCTACAGGAAATAGAAGCCAAATTTACGGAAAACATTCACATGTGCTTTAATGGAAGCATCAGCGATAGGAATTTGGGATACGTTTCGGGGTTGATACTGGATGGAAAATGTCCGACTGCCGGGGTAAGTAGTAATGTATACCAATTTATGATTTTAAATAATAAAAAAAATTAACTTTTTTTCCCACCCCCTCCCCCCTCGCATTAGTAAAAATTTATAAAATTTGTTTTCTGAAAAAAAAAATTTGTAACCGTCAAATTTTTTGAAAATCTTTTCATAAAAAAAAAAAAAAAATTATATTAACTTTTATTTAAACAAATTATAAAGTCTAAGATAAATATTTTTTTTTTTTTGTTTCCTAGTAGAAAAAAAAATGTTTATAGAGTTTCGAACAACTTTATAGCGAATATAAATAATTTAAACAAATAAAAATTAATTATTTAAATAAATAAATGCAAAAGTTGACTAACTTGAAATTTATTTTTTTCTTAAATATATATATATATAAAATAAAATAAAATTTTTCTTTTCTTTAAAAATTATACATTTCAATGTCAAAAAAAGTTTTTTTTACAAAGTTTTACATAAATTTTTTTTTTCTCTCTCACAAAAAAAATTTCATTAAAAAATGAAATACATTATTAAAATGCCGCAATGAAATTTTATTAACATAATAAAATTACATAAAAATAAAAATAATAATATTTTTAAAAACTATTTTTTTTTCTTCTTCTCCCTATTAGCATTAATTATTAAATTCACCTTGCAATCAAAATGTTTTTTATGTATAATGTATTTTATTCATTGTTATTAACAGTAGCAAATTGTCAAATAAAATAAAAAAAAAACAATTAATTAATTTTTTTATTTAAATTGTTGTTCGCCATCATATTTTTAATACATACATAAAAAATAAAATGAATCAATTGTAAAACACACACGCACACAGATTAAAAAAAAAAAAAAATGTCGATGAGTGAATAGATTTTTTTTTTTTTTTTGTTTTAATGTCGCAAAGTTTGTGTTCAATATTATTAAAAAAAAAAAAAAAACAAACGAATTGACAGCCTGTGTGTTTGTTTGTCTTGTTACGAAAAAAAAACATAAACCAAATTTTTTGTTGTCTTACGTTAACAAAGATTAACGAGCACAAAAATAATAAACTGGAAGTTACATAATATATTTATATATATATGAAAAAAAAAAAAAAAAACAAGTTCCTCTTCTTCTTTCAAAATCTTATCTTCTCCAGTAACAACATGACGGTCTTTAGCTTCCATGTCAACTTCTGACTTTTATTATTATTATTATTATTATTTATTTATTTTATTCGTTCAATCATAATTAATTATATGAAAATTAAATCAAAATTTTTTAATGGCAAATGTTTTATCATGTTTTGTTTTTTTTTTTTTTGGTTAAATTTACATTTAAAAAATAAAAACGTCTGAACAATGATGAATATGGAAATCAATTTTTAAAATTTTTTCAAATAAGGGTTGAAAAAGTTAATTAATTAAGGTCGAAATGAAATTAGTAATTAGTATTAGGGAGGAGGGATATATATAAAAATACTTTTAATTTTTTTTTTTTTTTTTTTGTTTTTCACAATTTTTAATTTAATTAAATTTGCGAGTAAATAAATTTAAAATTAAATTATTTCAGAGCACGGGAAACATACCTTATTTTTGCGAAGTCGGATTAAAAATTTCCGGCGTCGTACCAATTAAAGGAGGAGCTTTTTTGCATTTTCCAAACGAAACTCTAACATCGGTAACCCTTGGAAAAACGGAAAGACACACCGTTGCCTTTTTAGGAACGAAAAATGGACATATAAAAAAGGTAAGATGAAAACATTTTCTTATATTTTATTTTTTTAACGGTTTCCCGGAAAATTCACGCGTTATTACGTTTTAAATTAATGTAATAAAAGTAGAAAAATTGTTGTTTATCATATCCGGT